TAATTAGGTTAGTTAAAAGATCAATTGATTTGTAATAATTGTTGAAGTTGGTGATACGAGTAACAGACGTCCGATTGTTAATGTCAATAAGGTAAGAGTAGACAATTATTGATCTAATTGACAGGTAAAGCGTGGGGGTATCTATGACTCTTATTTGAAAAAATGTACCTGAGTCGTCCCTATAGGCCTGCTTTGTAATAAAAAGTTCTGGCAATTTCTGGTCCTTTCCCGTCCAAGTCTATAAATAAATTCTGATTTGTATTTTTTTTATATAAAAAGGCGAAGAAAAAATATCTGAGACCCCTTTACTCCTTCGTTATAATAATTAGCGATTTTGGAGAATAAAACATTTAACAATTTTTAGCACTTTGCTTGCTCCGCTAATAAATCTTACCCACGATAAATAAAAAGATTCATATACTCAAAATAATATCTAATATCTAACGATTAAGGTTTGTTTTTTATTTGTTTATATGCTATGACACCTCCCCACACTCGTGTATATATGCTAACAGACCAATTTCCCCTTATAGATGTCATCGCTTGCTGTTTCGGGAATCGCTCCATTTTTGGATTTTGCCGGTCTATTGATGTTCGTTGGGAAATTCTCTATTTACTTGGTCATCGGTGCCACGTTTTATTTTTCACGTACCACTAAGCAAGACATCGACGCCAAGCATAATTCCGACCTTTCTACACGTGATACCATGTTTAATGAAATTCTTGCTAATCGTGATGCCCGACTTACTACCGAAGTTGCCGATCGGGATGCCAGATTCGTAACTGAACTCACCGATTACCGTGCCAAATTTAACGCTGAACTTACCTCGCGTGACGAAAAATTTACAGCAGAGGTCCAAAGAATCTTTACAATGCTTAATACTTCTACAGCAATGTGGAATCAGTTTAAGATTATTTTCGATAGGATTATGGCTGAAAGAAGATGTTCTTTTGATGATATGTGTAATGTTGTAATGGTTGATCTTCTTAATCTTGGAAAAATTGGTAAAGATTCGATTAAAAATTATTATCGTAAAATCAATGATTTAAGAGGTAGTAACTTAGATAAAATAGGTGCTTGGATCGATAGCAAAACAGTTACACGTAATAGTGAGTAGCGGGAAAGGAACTGCCATCATACGGGTTAGGGCTCGGCAGATTTCCTCCCTTGAAACTCGCTACTCTATCATTTTAATCATTTTAAAAACAATAAAGGTTTCGCCCGAACTGGGCTTTGACAAAATGTAAAATGAAGCTTTATTATGCAATTAATAACATTAAGTGCCTATTTAATGAATATACTAGCATTTTCCCGAATATAACATTCTATTGAGCGAGACTGAAAGGTTACAGTATTTTTTTCTGGATGATACACGAATACATTGGTTTCCAAGACTTCATTGGCCTCCTGGCGCGTTTTGAAAAATTCCTCAAATGCAGTACGGCTAAGCTCTCCGGAATCCGATGACACGTTTTCCTACTTCATGATGTTCATCGTCTTTAAGAAGCTTTGCAGTTCTGAATTTGTCTTCGACTTTCACTAAAATTTCGTGTTCAATAACTGCAAAAGCAATGAAGATATTCAAAGAATGAAACAACAATATCTTTTGTTAAAAGCAGAACCACGTAATCAAAACTAATTCTACCTTCAATGGATATTCCTTTCAGATATTTATCTGTTACAGACTTCAGATCTACAATGCGTCCACCAACCAAATCAAATAATTTCTCTGCTTCCGTGGTATCGATCTTGCCCTCCTTGACAGTCTTGATTCCACGCTTATTGATAAGGTAGTTCAATGATTCTTCTCTAGAGAGGTCACCAATTTCGATTGGTGCTTCTGCACGTGACCAAGAACTACGTGCTAGAAATAAGAATATTGATTTATAAATATGCCTGTAAATAAGAGAACCAAAAAACCCAGTTAGCACTTACACTGCATTCTTCTCGGGACATTCCCTTCACTGCTGACAAACACAGCGATATATTTTCTGTCATCGGCATTATCCTTGGCATCATCTTGAAGGATGTCGAGGATTTCCGGATTTTTGTGAACCAATCGGCTAACATTATCGTAAACGATAACCGGTGGTTTATTATGCTTCTTTTTGTACACGGCAGAAGCACGTTTAAAGGCTTCCATGGCTCTCTTCCACTTGGGATCCTCGAATTTATCTATAAAAAAGAGAAATTAGGTTCAAAATATTGATTGCCAACAATAATGCAGTAATGAAAACTTACTATTAGTGTCGCCCAAGACTTTCCGCGTCAGTTGTCCTGACCAAGAAATATGTTCCTCAAACGCAAAGTTAAGGGCTCTTCCAAATGCTTTACCAAAGTCTTCAATATCAGCAGGAGTATCAACATATATGACACCCTGCCCAACTTCTCTCGATGCAATCCTGGTTAATGTAGTTTTCCCAGTTCCATGTTCACCGCAAACCATGTGATAAAATGATTGATTTCTATGCGGTTGAAAAATTTTTTTAAGGCGATCTACAACTAGAGGTCGAGAAACAAGCTCATCATTTAAAACATCAATTCCAGGTCGAGTTCCCTTTTCCACAGTTTCGTTGAGAAGACGTTCGTTACATCCGTTTCGGTACCAAGCATATAGAAGGTCCACTGATATAAGACCAACAAGGCCAGTTACAATTATGTTCGCCAATATAGCAGTCTACAAATAACGAAAAGATGTTGAAAACTTGATCGAACAATGCATAACAAACAACAATAAATCTCATACTGGAAGCCGTTTTGCAATGTATTTTGTGAATTTGTTCAGATAGGAGGACGATGTAGACTCTTCGGGAGACGTGTGGGGGGAAGGTGAAGAGTTTGCATAAGGTCTCGAAAGTGATGATTGAAATAAGTCAGGTCTCAAGTTCCTCAACATAAGACTCGGCAACTGAAGGCATCGTACTCGATGGTTAACGAAGTGAATTGGAAAAACGGTCTTACGAAAGTGTTGAGTTATTTTGAAGACATTATTGGTTAAAAGAAAAACGGAATAACTGATTTCCTTATTACACAAAAATCACAAAAATCACGCGATCCGCAGTACCGTTCTTATCGTACATCAGTTGCTAATTTTTCCGAGATTCGTTTAACTTTACCTGTGCATTTATCATTCATATATACTAATCGGGGTTTTTTCCGAATATAATCAGATTTCATGACGAGACAAAGCTAAAGTTGATATACTGGATGTGTCAATTATGCGATCAAGGTAATTATCTGGCATTTTGTAAATTATTCTTTAATAAAAATAATACACGTAATGATCATGAAGTATTTAAAGTTTTGAGTTTATTCAATGAGTCCTAGCTCTCGAAGATGATTTGGAATGACTAGATATGGATCCTCATAATACCAAACATATCTTAGAACAATCCAATTTTCTTCACAGAGTTCTTTTTTGATCTGATCACGTATTAATTGCTTTTCGAAGTCTTCCTCATTTTTGTAGAAATGCTTTACGTATTGCTCATGTTGCTTACCTTGTACCTCTATGGCAAATCCATACTGCGGATAGTAAATATCAAGCTCTAATCCGCGAGGATACTCTGGTGTTTTCAAGAAATCTGGTCTGCGAATGCTAGAAGGTGGTCCGAGAATTTTTGTTATGATTTCACGGCATAAGCTTTCATGTTTATTTAAGCAATATGGACACCATGATTTAGCATGCTTTATACCATTAAAACTGGCAAACCATTTATGACCTTTATTACACATCCATTGCATCGGAACACAGAGATTTATGTATTTTGTAGAAAGACACATACCTCCTCTATTGTGAGCAATTTCTTTAGCTTCCATAAGACCACAAGGAAAATTACCAGCACATTGTGAGCACCATCTTCCCATACTTTTTATTCGATAAAGAGTTGTGGACCATTCATGTCCTTTGATGCATTTCCAAAGCATTGGAGTAGTTGCATTAATATATTCTATAGAAAGGCATTTACCACCTTGTTGTTGTGCAACATTTTTCACTATATCAATATTGAGAAATCGACACTGCCGACACCAAGTTCCATTAATAATATCTTTTGCTAAAGTCTTCCATTTATGGCCTTCTTTACACTGCCACTCAAGAGGATCCTGTCTATTAATATATTCAGTTACAAGGCAAAGACCTCCTTTTTTCTCTGCATATTTTCTCATATCTTCAATTGTTCGAGTATGACGATTTTTAACCGCACACCATGGGCACCATGTTTTTTTGTACCTTATACAATCAAGAGTTGTAAACCATTCATGGCCGATAATACATTT